ATAAAGCCTTTCTTTCTAAAAGTGTGCATCATCTTTTGAGTCAAATTCTTACATTTAATCAGTCAATTAGAATTTAAAGATATTTGGGCTGTTAACAAACAGCCCAAATTGCCATTTGTTGGCAAACAAATGATATCAGTATCAAAATTCATCTTTGCAATGCAGAGGAAACACAGAAGCTGCATGGGAGGAATTTCCCACACAGAGGGACATGAATGCATTTAACCTGCAGTTACAAATGCATAAATAATATTTTGTTATTTTAAACATAAAACATTGAATACTGATATTTCAAATTATTTTAAAAACGAAAAACCACCAGCAGGTGGCAGCAAGTCACTGTTAAGAAGTGAGTCATTGCGATTAACCCGAATCATTTAAACGGTTGATTCATTCAGGAACTAAACGCTGTCATGTTGCTCAGAGACACAAAACAGCGCTGTGGCTGTGTTTGGAATTTTTTTGTTGGCAAAATAAAGCAAAAATGGGCAATATAGTGTCTAAAACGAAAGTCTCATAATATTACCTTCTTGTTTATCGAACTGTTGAATAAAATCACATTTGTAATCTTGCTGATTTTAGAGGTGAAAACTGGCACTCTTCGTGTGATATTGACTAACTTTCTTTCTGTGGTATTTTTATGCACAATGGCGTTTAGACTTTCACAAAACATAGCTAACGTAGGGACTTTATAACTAGCCACCATATTGATTTACGGTCTTAAATATGTCCAGCGCTTTTTTTTTTTAAAGTCTGGTCCCTGTTTTTATACAGTCTATGGTCTGGTCCAGCGTTTATCGGGTTGTGTGTCAGTAATAATGGTCCGTGGGGAAACACGGTGTTCCGTGTGTAGTTACAGTAAATGGACTAAACGAAGCCTCGATGATTTTTTGTATTCGAGTTACTCAAGGTATTCGAGGAATCGTTTCAGCCCTAAAATAAACCTGTGAGTGTTTTATAGGCTATATGACATGTTATAGTCAGATATATGACAGCGCTAATGCATGAATTAGTTGACTATCTCTTCTGCAAACTGCCACAAATGAAACCGAGTAAGCTGCAGACACTCAACACACAATCATCTTCATTAAAAGTTGTAAAACTAAAGTATCTTTTTGAAGATGGGATTTATATCCATTTTGTGGAGACAAGCATAAAAGGAACCGTTTGAACAAATCCCATAGCTGTCCGATCAGAGAAAACGCATGAAGTGACCAGGTGTAAACAGGCCCGAAGATACTTGGGGGCTTTCTTGCACAGTCATAGAAAGTTGATCTTGTGTATCTTCCACCAGTCCAAGGGATCATCCTCTGTCAAACGCAGGGGTCAACAGGTAACTGTTTAACTCTGACTGTGCAACTTGAAGATGTCGTGGAGGCAAAGTAGGAGAGTCCACACTGGTTTTGAAAACACATGTTTGCCTTTTCTTTGGAGGGCTGTGCACTTTGAGGCTTCTGAACGGTTTCATTTACATTTAGACATTTAGCAGACGCTTTTATCCAAAGTGACTTACAAATGAGGATAATGGAAGCAATCAAAATCAACAAAAGAGCAATGATATACAAGTGCTATAACAAGTCTCAGTTAGCTTAACGCAGTACACATAACAAGGTATTTGTTTTAATTATATAATAAATAAAAAGAAAACAGAATAGAAAAAAAGAATAGAGCAAGCCTAGAGGCCTTTTTTTTGCTTTTTGTTAATTATATAATAAAAAGAAAACAAATAGATACAGGTCTCCAGACAAAAAAAAAAAAAATCAATTAAAGAGCCATTGGCTTCTATAGGGGAAAAAAACAGGTGCCAAATAATTTTTTAAGAGCCACATAACAATGCACTTAAAATAAAATCACTTTTAGTCACCCTGTTGTGTGTATATCTCTCCTCTTCTTACAGTTTCAGCATTTTCATCTTGTGAATGTTCTGGGAACTGAAGCTTATTTGGGAACTGAATGTCACTTTCAAATTATGAACTATATACAGTCAAATAATTTTTCTTTACGCAGTATCTGAGCCAGTGTCACTGTCACTGACCATGATTATGTCCATATCACTTGGCCACTGATTGTAGTTTGGCCGTCGTCTCTTCTTTTTTGCAGAAAGCCAGCATTTGACACATGGTTCAGGATCAAACTGTTCAAGCAGCCTTCAGTGCTGATCCTGATCAAAGCTTCCAAGTTTGACAGATGGAGTGAATTGCGTACTTTAGATTTGATCCTGTTTTGAGCTGAAAAGCCACGTTCACACTGAGCAGCCGAAATTGGTAGGACAAGCATTATCTCTTCTCAACTAGATGCAAAACATTCTGGAAATCTGTGCAGTAGGGCTCTTTTGAAGGTAGGACTTCCCACAAGCTCCAATAGGATTTATCTGAAAAATGTCCTTTTACAAGGGTTTTCAGCAATCTCCATTCTGCCTATACAGCACTGATATCACATCCATTTTTCAGCAAGATGTCATGATACCATTTCAGCAGTGAGTCAATTTCATTTTCTCCAAGTGTAGATGTCGTCTGGCCAAGAATCATGACAAAAGATTGAGAAGCATCGAACGATTTCTGTCCCTTGTGTGTTTTTGTGCTGTGTGTTGTCTCTCATTATTTCAAACCACCTTTCAAGTTCCTTAACCACAATGTCTACAGTTTCATCAATGAGGTGGTTTAGTTCTTCACTGAAACCTGGGAGATCACAGCCTTTCAGCTGTATGTTTTGAAAGGAAATGCCCACATAATCAGATGAGGCTGCTTTCTTCTGCCTTCTGGTCTTTTTCTCTTTGGGCTTTGTCCTGCTGCACCACATTTTCATGCTGAGAAACTGAATTTAAGTTTGTGTGACTGAGAAATTCCTCCAACTTTTACTAACATTTCTCACTGGTTTGTCCTTCATTCCCTTGATTGTACTAACACAGGAATCAATAGCGGCTTTAGCCTGAGGTAGAATAAGTGAGTTCTTCTGAAGTACAAGACTCAACTTTGAGATTTCTCCAAACAGGTTATGGAGAAAATGACAAAACACCACAAAAGGCAACTTTTCCATTTGTTGTGAGATGTGTTTTGCTCTTCCTCTTATTTCAGTGTTTTTGGATGAGGCAGCAAGGTGTTGCATGTGGAAGTGCACAGCTGTATATTGGCCCTGGCCTGTAGTCTGATCAGATGCAAGAAAAACAGAAAGGGCTCGGTAAATGTGAGGCAGTCAGCTCTTGGTCTTCACAGCAGAAGGTGCTCGTATTGCACAGCCTAACTCCATACCAATGGCTTTCAACTCACACGTGCTTTTGGGGCTAAAATGGTATGTTTTCCATACTAGCTGTAGCAAGTCAGACTTTTTCAGTCATTGGAACAGACTTCTGAACATGCAGCATGGCTAATTCCAGTCTGTGTGGCATACAATGAAAGGAAAGAATGTGCTGTCCTATTTCTTCTCTTAAGAGAGCACCTACTCCTCCTGAAGCACCCATGTTAACGGCAGCCCCATCTGCTCCAAACGCAGTAATCTTCCTTTGCCACCAATCACGATCAATTTATTTAGCATCACTAAGCAAGCATTTTATTTTATCCAATACTCCATGTACATGGCAGTGTTCAAGCTCAGCTAAACCAATAAACCTGTTCACTGCTACACCTGCAGAAATGTGCCTGCAGTATGCAATAACGTTGTCTTTCCCAGAAACGTCTGTGCCACAGTCAGTGATAATGGAGATGTAATTAGCTGTCTGTGCATCTGGTCAGTGCTTGTTCTTTGATCTCATCTGCAATGCATCCTACAAACTCGGCACAAGATGTGTTGTTATCATACGTTTTGCTCACATCAAGTCTGTTTTTTCACATTAATAATATCTGTGAACTAAATTTAGTGAACGGCAGCTCTTCACGTGCGATCATATACAGGTGCATCTCAATAAATTAGAATGTCATGGAAAAGTTCATTTATTTCAGTAATTCAACTCAAATTGTGAAACTCGTGTATTAAATAAATTCAATGCACACAGACTGAAGTAGTTTAAGTCTTTGGTTCTTTTAATTGTGATGATTTTGGCTCACATTTAACAAAAACCCACCAATTCTCTATCTCAACAAATTAGAATATGGTGACATGCCAATCAGCTAATCAACTCAAAACACCTGCAAAGGTTTCCTGAGCCTTCAAAATGGTCTCTCAGTTTGGTTCACTAGGTTACACAATCATGGGGAAGACTGCTGATCTGACAGTTGTCCAGAAGACAATCATTGACACCCTTCACAAGGAGGGTAAGCCACAAACATTCATTGCCAAAGAAGCTGGCTGTTCACAGAGTGCTGTATCCAAGCATGTTAACAGAAAGTTGAGTGGAAGGAAAAAGTGTGGAAGAAAAAGATGCACAACCAACCGAGAGAACCGCAGCCTTATGAGGATTGTCAAGCAAAATCGATTCAAGAATTTGAGTGAACTTCACAAGGAATGGACTGAGGCTGGGGTCAAGGCATCAAGAGCCACCACACACAGACGTGTCAAGGAATTTGGCTACAGTTGTCGTATTCCTCTTGTTAAGCCACTCCTGAACCACAGACAACGTCAGAGGCGTCTTACCTGGGCATTCAATAATGTTGTCTTTCCCAGAAACGTCTGTGCCACAGTCAGTGATAATGGAGATGTAATTAGCTGTCTGTGTGTCTGTCAGTGCTTGTTCTTTGATCTCATCTGCAATGCATCCTACAAACTCGGCACAAGATGTGTTGTTATCATACGTTTTGCTCACATCAAGTCTGTTTTTTCACATTAATAATATCTGTGAACTAAATTTAGTGAACGGCAGCTCTTCACGTGCGATCATATACAGGTGCATCTCAATAAATTAGAATGTC